CTCTGCTTGAAAAAGGATCCATTTACAAAAAAGAAAAGCACAATCCAGAGTCATTAAAATGCACAAAATTATTCAAGTGTCCCCCAAAACTGACTTTGCAACATTTAATGGATGCATCTAAGTTCAGGCACCTCTGTAGGAGACCATACCTGTCGCTAAATCAGACCTGGTAACACCATGCAAGAGTAAACCCTTTTCATTTCAAAATTAAATCATTGCATGGTGCAGCACTCTGCCATTCCCAAACAATTTCAAGTAATATTTCTGAAACTCCAGCCTCAGAGGTACAGCTTTGCAGACAGGACACATACAACTGTGACAGAGCTCTTACTGTGAATAAATAATGGTGGCTATATCTAGAAAACAATACCAGCCTACACACTGCTTGATAAATATCCCCTATTAAGAGGCTCCAGCATTTTACAAGCCTACCAGATAACTGGCAGTGATCACACTGTAATCCATTTTAACTCACATTGAAAAGTGGGTTTTCTCCTTTCAAGGGAGACAGTCTTTCCGCAGCCAAGTAGTTGTAAGCAAAGTTACAGCTCTCTGAAAAAAAACCACAAGACCTATTTCATCTGAAATACCTGAACTAGGATTATTATATTGTGTTTTCACAGCCATTACAAATTCCTCTGGTGAAGTCAGCATGCCTTCACTGAAACACATCCATGCCCACGCAGAGCAGTCTGGAACAGCAGGCGCTTAGCTTACCTGGCTGGGACGCCGCACATTGATCCAGGAGAGGCGACCCCACGATGGAAGGATGGATCCCCAGCTGAGACCACCAAGGCATGGTCTCTGCTCCCAAAGCACCCAGCACCCTGTTACGCCCTTTAATACCCAGCGCAGCAGCCCCAGGCTTGGCAGGTGACCTTCGCTCCGGGGCAGACCCGGCTCAGCTGCCGAGCAAGACGAAGCACCTGGAGGCAAGCGGTGGCTCCCAGGAGCACGGGGAGACCCGAGGTACTCAGCCTAGGACAGTGACATTCCTCTGGGCAAAAACCACAGCCCTGCCAACAGAATGATGAAAAGAACTGCTAATATTATGGTATCTGTATAACACCTGAGACAGGGACGAAAAAGCATGAAAACTACCAGAAAAGAGGTGTTTTTCCTCTGGAAATCAGAACAGCTTTGTAATCTCGTTAGAGCTGATTGAGGCGTGATTTGTGCCAGGCAAGAGCGAGTTCAGCTCTGCCCTGACACCACTCCAGGTATTTTATTTACTTTGAGACGAAAGCCATGGCATAAAGCAAAGCTGTATCAGATAGAGGCTTTATCAAAGTATCGAGAATGATTCTCCTTCCCGCCAGCATACTCTGGTTTTTGAGGTAAGGAAGAGTGCTTGTAGCAAGGAGTCACGGCTGCTCAGGATCCATCCGATATCCCTCGCTCTCCCCTGGTTTTATAGAGAGGTCTCAGTTGCCTAACTCAGGGCTCCAGTATGTTTTTGCTAGCAAGGCACCCAAATCCTTCTGTAGATTTAGCCCTCAACATCCTAATTAAAGAAGCAGATGCTTTTTATGGCCTTATGTCAGCTTGGAATAATTTTTAGTTATTGAAAACAGCTGCTCTTCTGATTAGTACACTGAGCATTTATTTTTCTCTTATACCAGTGTCAAACTGCTTCACTGCAATGCAGACAGGAGATGCTTAGTTTTACAAAATAAATCTGTGCTAAGGAGAAGAGAAACGGAACAAATATTTTGGCATTTTTTAGCAGTGGTACACAATGAGACAAAGTACATCCTCAGTCAATTGATTCACTGTTGTTCTGACACGGCATGAAAAATGAGGAAAGCCATAGAAAAATGAGGGCTTTTTCTAGTGCTTCAAAACTTCCCACAGAACAGTTTGCTTCAGTTTAAAGTTGTGGCAGCAGAACACTTCACCACAGAACCTCCACAGCAGTGCGACTGCAAATGCTATTGAAAAAAAAGAAAGAAGAAAAAAAAAGACAGACCTTTTACAATGGAAAATGGCTCAGATTAAAGTTTTTCAGCCCAAAAGGTCTCGGGGAGGCTACCTGGGAGCAGGCAGGATGGGGCAGAGCTGGCAAGACCTGCCACCAGCAGCATGGCCCAGCCAGGCAGCGGCTCTGCCCGTCTCCCTCATTCCAGCCCTCCCGCCCGTCCGCTGCCTTTAAAGCTCTGAAACCCTACGCAGGTTTTACGGCCTTTAAAAGACAGAAAACCCCACTGAGGCATCAGCCCCGTCAGCCTCTGCTTGTAAAAGGAAGGGAGGGTGTATGTTTGTTTGTGTTGAAAATGTCAACTAATTTGGGGCAATTTTTGAGCCCAGCTGTGGACTGATCTGATTAAAGGTGCTTGGTTAACAAACAACACATGCTTCGGCCAAGATACCGAAGTAGAAAAAAATAATCATGTAGAGAGACAGTATTTTCCAGGCATTATTGTTAATTGAATTTGACATTAGATAAAGACAACTCCCTCTCTGCAAAGATGCATATTTATCCAAAGCACTCCTCACTGTGCTTAACACAATTGACTTTGCAAGATAATTTTTAATGTATTTTAATTAAATTAAAAAAAAAAACTGCTTTCAAAATAAATGTCAACACTTCAAATGAAACTAAAAGTACCGCTGGCACAGCTATAGACCCTAAGAAATTTAGGAATATGAGGGAGCTGTCATTTCAGTAAGATGTATGCATGCTTCTTGCCTTCCCAGTCAGGGTTTCAGGCAGAAATCCCTTCCACTGGTATTTGGTTAATGATGAAATATGGCCTCAGCAGAGGAGCCAGCACAAAGCACCATCGCGGCCCTCCCAGAGCCATCATGGGGGTTTAGAATCAGCGGGGTTGTGCCACGTGCATCCCGCGTCCTTCCCCGGGACCTCCGAGCCCGGACCTTTGCACAGCCCCAGCTGCCGGCCGCCGCTCACGCTGACCCGCTGAGCACTCTGCAGGCTTTCAGCAGCTCAAAGTCTCCTAACCTGGCCGCCTCCTCGGTGGGTACGCTTTACGCAGAGGGTTTTGGAAGGAAGCGGGTGCTCCTCTGGTTCGTACAGTGTTGCCAGCTCCTCTTTTCCCCAGAGGACCAGGCAATTAATTTATGGAGAGGATTAGATCCGAGCAGATTCTTGAGAGACCCTGAATTTTTGCATTGCTTTCTCAAGTACATTTGTAGAG